TCTTGCCAATTTTCTTCCATTATTTGATCTGAGAAAGTGGGTCTGACCCATGAAAGCTCATCACCTAATAAACCATCTTGTTAGTCTTTAAAGTGCTACATAGCCCTTATTTCAAAGTAACTTCAGCTGCCGCGTCCACACATGCTCTGTTTAGAAACTGGAGTTATTCCTTATGGAATGAGGTTTACAGATTTCAGAATAAGCCATCCATTATTTCAAAATTATTTCAAAATAATGGAATTGCTATGTAGACACTCGCATTCTTATTTCAAAATAACAACAGCGCTGTGTAGATGCACCCCTTGTGATTAGACAATAGCTTGTGATAATTTTTTTGTGCACAAAAATGATCTTTCCAATCTCTCAGGGTATGTCTACACTGCAAAGTTAATTCAAAATAACAGCTGTTGTTTCGAATTAACTTTAATAGTGTTCGTACATGCAAACCGCTATTTCAAAATTAATTCGAAATAGCGGAGCGCTTAATTAGAATTTGGTAAACCTCATTCTATGAGGAGTAATGCCAAATTCGAAATAGCTCATTCGAAATAAGTGCTGTGTAGACACTTAATTCAAATTAGCTGGCCTCCAGCCTTTCCCAGTTTCCCCGGGTGGCCACTCGAGGAAAAACAAGAAAAACTCTTCTCCTCTCCCCCAGCCCCAGAGCCCTTAAAGGGGTAGACTCTGGCCAGACTGCATGTGCCAGATCCAGGCCTTCCAGCAGCCTCTGCCCCTGACCCAGTGGCCTCACCATGAGCCAGGCAGCCAGTGCCAGGCAGTCATCCCCCGCCCAGTCCTTCAGCACCCAGGAGCCAACCAGGGGTCGTAGACGCCACGCTCCCTCCTGGGCTAGTGAGGAGATTATGGACCTCATTGAGGTTTGGGGGCAGGCCTCCAATGTCCATGATCTCCACACTAGACAGAGGAACGTGACTGTCTAAGGCCGCATAGCTGCCACCATGTTCCAGAAAGGCCACACTCCTATGAGGTGGTCCCCTCTCTTTATTGTTCAAAGCTGCTGCAATCCACATCCCCCTGCAACACAATGAGCTGAGGATTGAGTTCCTGCAGGGCCAGGAGGGCAGCCTTCAGAAACTGCAGCACGACAATCAGGGGCCATCGTGTACCCAGAGGCAGCTCCAGCTCCATGGCTGGCAAACTGAGGTGTCCGTAAGGCGAACCACAGCAGTCAGAGAAAATGCTTTGTTGTCCCTCGGGAAGGAAGGCAAGCATGAGAAGAACTGGAGAAATGACTGTATTGGGAGAACCCTGTAAGCAGGCATCTAAGATAGCCTCAGGCAGCAGCTCCATGAAGTAATTTCACCCTGATGCCCTACCTGAAGTGTTCCAGGTGGTCTTAAATGTGAGTTAGCATCCAGTCATTGTGGACACTCTATTTTGAAATACCTAAGCTCTATTTCAATGCACTTCTTGTGTATAGATGAGCTATTTCAAAATAAGCTATTTCAGTAAAAAAATTCCAAAATAGCTTATTTCGAAATAAGCGTGCTGTGTAGACATACCCAAGATGGAGCATGAGGACTGCAGTAGCAAAGAATACTAAGAAGAGGAGAATAACACAGAGGCAGTATTAGCACAGTCATAATGTGGGTTTTTTCATGAAGAAAACATGCTAGTCATTCAGTAGAGTTTACAAAAAGGCTGGGCAAAGGCTGTGACTCCTGGATTCTGTTTGGTTACAGCCTAAATGGCTTATATTGTAACTCTGAGCTGCTCAAAAACCATATAAGGTTTCTTGCTCGTCCCTGGAATTTCACATCTACTGTAATTTGCAAGGGGAGATTTTGGTTCGTGCTAAATTATTTCTTGCAAAGTTGTGGGTCTTTTATGGTCCCCATATACCCATACAGCAGTGCACAAGGCCTGGACTGGAAGAGAAAAATCTTCCCAAGGAATGTTTGTTAGAAACCTTTTCACTTTGTGGAGGGGGAAAAGAGAGAAGCATACAACTCCACTTAAGAGAACAGGAACCTCTTTGGAGACAGATTGTGAAAACTTGCCATGGTATTTGTGAGCTGGCCCTTGGCTTTCAGCAAAGAAGGCTACTTTAATATTTTTCATGAGCAAGCACAGACTTACTTGCACAAAATTTACATTTTCAAGAAGGGTGAATAAGGCATATTTAAAATTGGGATTCTGATTTGCATCTTATACCTTTTGGTTCTTGGACTACAAATTACATCTATTTAGTATCCTTTACACATTAGTAACTTAGATTCAAGACTAACATATACTGTCATGCATATCTCTTCTGAATTTGGTCTACCAAGTCCAGCAAAATGTATACAGGAATTTTAGATTTCAATGAATAGAGCACTGTAGGGTTTTTAAATCTGGTTGGTTTGATTAAACACACTTCTAGAAATATATATCACCTGCAGGGAAAAAACTCAATTTGGCTAGATCATATTAAATGGTACATATTTTAATAAAACTCCAAAATTATTGTCCCAAAATAAATATTCTCACCGTAGATGATGGATCTAAGGGTGCTGGGCATAGTACTTCATGCTCTGGTTTGAAGTGGTTTCTATCATATGCAAGGTTTACAGTTTGTTTCAGTGCTCCCAGTATATCAGTACTGTAAAAATTGTTACAGCAACCCTGATTCTTGCCACAGAAGAATCTGTGAAAGGGTTCAGTGGCATAAAGGTTAATGATGATGTAAATAATTCCATTCACATCCATCCTGAATCTGACTCTGCATACATTATGTGAAATATTTGTTCATCAATCACACCATAAATACTACTCATGAGTTGCCAAAATAGACGAGCCACTCAACATGAACTCCCAGGTGTGATGCTATCGCAAAAACCTAATTTTGGATTCTTAGCTATATTGAGGGGGAGTGCTAAATAGATGTAGGGAGGTGATTTTACCTCTGTATAAAACATCTGTGAGTCTGATGGTAGAATAATGCATATAGGTCTGGGAATTATATATTTTAAAAGGATTGAGAGGGTATAGCAAAGAGCCATAAAACAATTCAAGGGCTGGAGAAAATGCCCTGTCTGTTTTGCTTTCAAAAAGATGACTGAGAGGTGACAGCATATAAATGCCTTCACAGGGAGAAATACCAAGCTTACTAAGGGGCTCTTAATTTATCAGAGAAAGTCGTAACGGTTGTCTATGGATGAAAGCTGTAGTCAGCATGTTTAAATTTAGAAATTAGTCTCAAATTTTTAAGTAAGGGTGATTAACCACTAGAAATACCAAGAGAAAAGTGGTTGCTTTTCGACCTCTTGACATCTTCAAATCAAGACAGAATGGAAGATAGACTTTGGCCAAATATAAGTTTTGTGTAGGGTATATGTAAAGTCTAATGGTCTCTTCTTGCTTTAAAATCTGTGAATCAATAAATCATTCTTACTTCAGAAAAAATCTTAATATTGTAAGTTCTTCTTTCAGAAGAATAAAAATTGTACCTAGATCACTTTCAAAGTCCTTGACATAGCTTGAAATGAGAAAGATTCCTTAGAATGGGGATGCTAAGTAAATATATCATGATTATATGATAATGGCAAGTAATGTCATCTGTCTCTAAATTACTACTGGATAAATAAGTTCACCACAACTTTTGTAAAAATTTTAACCTTATACTTTTGTCTAAAAAAAAGTAGCTTTAAAAAAAATTTACAACATGATTCTTTCAGTTGCTGATCTAGAATGGAAAAAAAAAATGGATGTTGTGATATATTTTGAAAAAGTAAGATGCATCTTAGAGGCCTTACTGATCCCCCTGCTTATGTATCATCAACAAATTTGGGAGTGTGGAATTTCTTACTGATGCAAAACTTACGCATTTACAAATTTCATTCAAAGGACAATTTATGTAGAAATTACTGTGGTAGACTATAAAGTTGTAATCCAAGATGAGGGATGAAGGGAGCAATCTTCATGCTCCTCTTGTATAGAAAGTGGTTAAGGGTCTGACAATAATATTGTAAATTTGACTATTCCCCATTATCATCTTTCTTGTAAGGCACAAACATATATAGTAAGACACTTTATTGTAAAGTAAACTGCAATGAATCCTCGGAGAATTAATAAAATAGTATACCTCTGAAGGCTGTTTTTTTCCCCCGATGCAAATGTGGATCTTCATAATCCTCTGAGATGAGGCTCATGAGTTATGGATCTTTGCACAAATAAAAGTAACAGTACACACATCCTTCCTGGATGAAATATTTTGCATTCATATGCTGCTTGCCACTCATGCCCACCATAACCCAAGACTGCTGTATCTTAAAAGAGAATGTTCAAAATGATGAGAAATATCACCTCTAACATGCGCAAATATATAACACCACCGAGTGTGTGTAATATAGTCAGTGTGTGCTGCTGGACAATATAGAGAACTTGGTGAATGAGAAAGTCCTTAGTAGGCTAATCTAATATATAAAGGAGAATGTTTATAAGTTTGTGTACTAATAACTTGGACACAGTGAAAGCTACCACAACCAACGAACAGGTGAGTGCTAACAGGGAGTTTAGAGAGGGAGTTCTCCAGGTAAAGGAGAAGCAGATACAAGACTCTTGAGGGAAGTGGGTGTTGTGTTTGGGGCTTTCTTGCTGTGTGCTGAACTTGTGTTTGTAGGTGTGTGGTGGTGGTTTTTTTTTCTTCTTCCTGTTTGAGTGAGGCTTTAGAGAGGGAGTTTTCCAGGTAGAGGAGAAGCAGATACAGGACTCTTGAGGGAAGTGTGTGTTGTGTTTGGGGCTTTCTTGCTGTGTGCTGAGCTTGTGTTTGTGAGTGAGGGTTGGTGTGTGTTCTTTTTTGTTTGTTTATTTATTTATTTCCCCCTGTGTTTGAGAGTGAGGCTTATTTTTTTTAACCACTTCCCCTTAACCCTCCCCCTCCCCTTGATGGAGTTTGTGCTGTGATTGGCAGGTGGAAACTGTTGGCTTCTAATTAAAGTTTGAATTCTAGAAGCCTCTGCTGATTGGCTGAGCCTTGGTAGGGGGAGGGACTTTCAGGCTCTCCAGGGCTTTATAAGGCAGGGACCAAGGAGCTTGCGAACAGGTGAGTGCTAACAGGGAGTTTAGAAAGGGAGCTGGGAAGAGGGCGAGGTTCTCTTGCCTTTCTTTTTAAATCCCTTCTCCAGGACAGCAGTGAAGGATGGTGATGGGTCTGCTGTTGTTTCTTGCACAGCATGTGCCATGTTTGTCTTCCTCCCAGAAGAAAGAACGGATTTCATCTGCACGAAGTGTAAGCTGGTCGACATTTTGGAAGAAAAAATTAGAGGACTAGAGGCCCAAGTGTCGACCCTACGCTCGATCAGAGAGGATGAAGACTTCTTCGATAGAAGTCAGCATTTAATCCTTCAAGCATGGCAGGCAGAGGAGCCAGAGAGGGCAATACGTGACCAAGAAGAGAACTGGCAGCATGTAACTTCCAAAAGGGTAAAAAGGCCAGCACGGGAATCCCCCGATACTATAGAGGTAAGTAATCACTTTCAAGCTCTCTCCACAGGCTCTGCAGTGCTAAAAGCTCTGGAAGGGACCTCACAAGGAAGAAACCAGAAGGGAACACCATCTACTGGAAGGCATGGGATGCGTAGTCCTACAGATGGGGGTTCCACGGCCACCACGCCCAAAAGGAAACGACGGGTGGTGGTGGATGGGGACTCCCTTCTAAGAGGGACTGAGCCATCCCTCTGCCGTCTGGACCTGGAATCTCGAGAGGTGTGCTGCTTACCAGGAGCTCGCATTCAGGATGTCACTGAGAGGCTTACCAAGCTGATCAAACCTTCGGATCACTACCCCTTCCTGCTTCTCCACGTGGGAACTAA